TGTGTATTTCATTGTAAATATATTCTCAAACTACTTTAAATCTCTGCTTCAAATGTCTATTTCTATTAAATTTTGCTTAAACGTTTTCTTCTGTTTTGAGAAAGGACAGGGAAATGTAAAGGAAGATATTTAAGAAGTCAGTCATCGAGACTTACAACATACCAAGGATGTCTTTCTTGGAATCATAGAATGCCAGAGCTCATGGGGTCCTTAATAATCATCTAATCTGTCCTCTCCTTCTACAGGTGGCTAGATAGTGACTAGGCCAGTACCGGTATTCGAGGGTCCTGATGGCTCCATCACAGGCTTCCTCCACACACTCATGCTGTGGAGTGGTGTTGGTGTTAACCTGCCATGCTTAGCTCCAAGGATGGGGCCAGAGGACTTCAACGGCTGGCATGTAGTGAGAGTGTCATAGGACAGTGCTCCTGAAAGTCAAGTCTAGTTTTACAGGTACTGAAGGTAATGGGATTAGTTTTTTTCCTTTTTAACGTATAATTACAATAAAGACAATTGTAACAATCATTCTCCCACAAACAGTGATCACTGTCATGCCTGTGGCTACTGAGGGATGATGCAGAACACTCTATCCTACCAAGAAATCCAGTGAGGACCAGAGAGCTCTTCAAATAGCAATATTTACATCAAAAACAATCTGCAGGTATCCAGTAATATCACTATAGCTGCTGTTAGAGGTGATATGTTTTCCTTCATATTTATTGCCCATGTGTATAACAGTTTATAGGTTTTACGGGACACCTTCAAAATGTGCTTGGTACCTTACTTATCCATGAATAACTCTGAAGTGGGTATTATCCTTATTCTACAGATGATGAACCTGAGACTCAAGTAAGTCCAAGGTCATAGCTACAAAGTGGTATTCTGGGATTTGAAAGCAGGTCTTCAGTCCTTTTGCTGGTGTTCTCTTCACAGCTACATCTCGTTTTATTTAGGTTGACTCTGTACACAAAAAAGTAGTATTTTCTTCCTTTTAAATAGTAGCCTTCCAATTAAGAAAATTAAACCCATGGTAAACCCACTGATTGTTTTGGACTAGGAATATGGTCTTGATAGTATAAAAATACATAATAGTAGTAGGGCATGGTAAGAAAAGTTTTCCCTACTATGGTTTGCTTGGGATGTTATCTTGGCATAATTATTAATAGTTCCCCCTTTCACTCTCAAAAGTGTCCCAGTTTGGATGATAAATTTTATTTTAGGATTAATTCAGTGAAAGTAGGCTTGTATTTTACCAGATTCAAATTTAGCGAGAACCCTTGCTATATGCTCCTGGAATATCTTACCTATAAGACTTTTGGGTAAGAATGTAAGAACTATAGTAGTTTGGAACTACTCTAGTTTATATCAAGATAAAAACAACAACTGAATACTAATTTACTGTAAAGATATATGATTTTTTATTTTCTTGAGTAGGCAGTTTTCAATAACTAGTTGTGTAGATTTGAAGCTGCTACTTAACAGAGCTAATGGGTTCTTATTCTCAAGTATAGATCCTAGACAGTCATCACATCACATGGTGTTGTAACAATGCATCTTTGAAGAAGCTGTCTGAGAATCTGCATTTGGAGTAAGCACCACAGGGGTTCTGATGCACACTAAATTTTGAAAACCAATGGTATAGTAGAAACCGGCGTTCTCAGGCAGATCTAGCTTTTGATATTTGAATTCCATATCTGACATATTGTGTGATCATAAACAAATTACTCAACCATTTCCTTTTCTGGAAAATGGAGAAAAGACTTCTTGCCTGACAGTAACTGTTGTTGTCTTAAATGAACATTTATTAGTCTTCTCTCCCAAAGTAGCATACTTTCTTAGTCATTCAACCTGTTTAAATTTATTCCTTGATCATAAAATTCTTAAAAGGCTTTTTATCGGCCGGGCGCGGTGGCTCACGCCTGTAATCCTAGC